TTTCTCGCCAATATTACTTTCACAATATTTTGCCGATATTTTCGTAATATTGCGCCGATATTGTCCCAATATATGTGTGCTACTTGGGTAACGGCATAACGAAGTAACTGTCTAGCCTGCCACTGCAGCATACGGTAGTGAGTACATTACTAGCATAAAACACACATCCAGAAAACTTCTTGGATAGAGCTGATAGTGTATACCTGAAAAGGGTGTTAGCCATAGCACTCAAGCTAACCACATCATTCATCACACGCATTGGAGTTTACAAAAAACTCTTCTACTCACCTGATTTTGTTGTGAAAGGGTGTTTTCAGAGAGTGGGTAATGATTTTTTGGAGACAACGTCTTTCCTAGTATATTCTTTTTGGTAAATTACAAAAGCATTCGATAGAGCGAGAAATATCACATAAAAAAGAATCCTCGATCAATACAAGCCCATCCTGTAACCCGATGTTTTTTTTTTTCAATTTCCTAGAATCGATCGTCCGTTGCATGTAATGATTAGGAGCTCCTCAGCTTTTCCAGTAACTAATGAATAATATGCTCGCTTCCAATCAACACAGTTCTTTACTGACAACAACTCTCATCGTCAGATTATTTTCAAATCTTCTTAACAGAACGTTGTTTTTACTTCAAACCAAATTGTCCTTATATTGTAGTAGTTGAGGAATAGTCTTTCTAAAATATATTCGTGGCTTGTTTTATCAATAAAATGATTTCGACTTGCATTCGAATTGTCATTTGGGAAAAAACGTGAAATTAAGGAGCGCTTGGGCATGTGTATAGGAATTACGTTTCAAAAGTCCAAGACATTTGACAGCTATTCATGCGTCGAAAATCTTGCTCCGAAATGATATGTCGCGAATTTCCCAATGCTTATCGATTTCACAAAAGGCTTCATGACGGTTTCCTTTAGTAGCTGGTAGTTAGTTTGCTGGTGAATATGCAGTGTGTATCATTTCTGATGGATACAACCTTATTATTTCGAAATTTGCAGAAGCGAGAGAGCTACATAATTGTTTATGAGAAACCTATATCTCTGTATATTGAGGCAGAGATAAGTTATACTGATTGACGATATACTGTTAACCATTCTAACCTATGGTTCAAGTAGTGAAAGGCAAAATTCGGATGAAAAAATGGCAATAAGAACTCAATTTCTGGTAGAGTGTATATAACAATATAACGATGTAATTTTGAAATCATCATTGCAAGCGAATGCGTAGTATTTTATACTTTGTAAAGTTGGCTCGTTGCTGCGTTCGCTACTAGTGGTCTATACATTATGAAGATCAGAATAACTACTTCACTATCACATCTACAATAAAAAATCAGTCAAATACCTATATGAGATTATAACACATGAAATGTGTAAATCCTCTTCCACAATTCAGCTGATACAATTCATTCAATGGAATTAATAACGATAAGTTAACAAATATTTGTTTCCTCTTTATTATATTTCCCTTTTCGAATTTTATTCTCTCCACAATCTTTGGAATTGAGATGATAAAATAAAGGCTTTGTGGTGCTTTCATTCACAATTATATGCATGAATATACAAGCGTAACAAAGGATATCTTAATTAAAGATGGGTCTATAGGATTAGTATAAAGAATTTATGTTCTCTCGAGAGATACATGAGCAAAATCTCTGAAGGAAATTGGAAACATGGGAAGAGATCCCGAGTGAATTCATTATTCACCTCGTTATTCACCAATCCTGAAATGCAAATGTATCACATCACTTCATGATGATGTGAAGAAGAAGAGTATTCCCTGGAAATTCTATGTTCTAGAACCAGAAAGACAGAGTACACATCTGTGAGAAATATAGAAATTATTCAAAAAATTGTGATACGTCATCATATTTGGGGGACTGGACGCAATTTTGGAGGTCATAATAATAATAAAAGGCCTTTATTTTACTTGCCGGAGTTTAGCATAGCTATTCTTCTACTCAACAAAGATTTGTTCACAAGGTTGGTATACAATTAAGATATTGTAATTCATAGGTACATACATAAACAAGATGATGATAACTCTAAATTCACTGTATAAAAGGAATATCAGTACTAGTGTATTATATATTTTATTATGTATTTCGCTGATGCTCATCCAGAAGTGGCTATTTGAGTTTTTTCTTCGAAGTGGGTAAAGACAAAAGTTTCAGATCTTGACTAATAGAATTAAATAAAGTTACGGCCTGATAAGTAGAGGACCGCTCAAAGAAGGTGGTTCTATCAGGGAATGTTTCATTCTTCGATGTTACGGAGATTCATCTTCAATATTTTATTTACGAATTAAATATTGTAAAGTTTCAGAGCATCGGCTGGAGAAAGTCCTGCACGATTCGCTGTTGCGTTCCAATTAACAGTGCTGCTCCTAAAGTGGCGCATGGAGTTAGTAACAAAGCCTACACAGAACACGCAGAAAAAGATGATGATGTGGTTGTGAGCATCAGAGAAGAAGTAGGACGGTGTATGTAGGTGGGTGTGGAAAACTACCAGCTGAGCGTGAGAGCGGGCCAGCTGCTTTTTTTTTTTTGCCGAGCTGGTTGAAATCTTTTATAGACATCATATGGGTCGAATCCCCCATATGATAGTGTGGGAGTCTTCTCCTCCACCCCGTTGTAGGCTCCGACGACACTTAGGCCTAGTGGCCCATTGTATCTCACCTACATGCCGTTATCAATTTTACCACATACGACTCATGGTGCCTATTAAGGGCCACTTCAATATGAAAGACCCTTTTCGTTCAGGTTCCTGAAGATTGCTCTTCCGCTCCCTGTTCTCGTCTACGAAGAAGGCCAAAAGTTTTCCTTCTACGAGTGACGGGGGAAGGGGTTGGTCCAGCCCTGTGGTGCCCCCTGCACAGGGCTAAGGCTGTTAACTCTGGGATGTCGCCCTGTTTCCCAGAGGCCCCGTTAGCGACACCATTCCTCGGTGCCATCCATCCATCGCCACGGGTTCCCACAGCTTGGATTAGGTTGCCAGAGCCTCGTTGACCAGTCCTCGACCACCTAGACAAACATCAGCAAATCGCCCCATCCCTGCCACAGATGTCCACAAATTGTCTCATCTAGTCCAGACATAGCAAAGATGGTCCCAAAATGCTTCATCCGTCGAGCGGCCGCGGTCTGTCCTCCCCACACCACTTGATGGTGAGGTTGGGCATGGAGGGGAAGAGGAAAAGAGCAGTTGGCCAAGAAAGGCCGATAGAAAGATTGAAAATGGAAGAGAGAAGAGGATATCACCCAAGACGAGTTGAAGTATGGTGAATATCCGGCTAGGGTACCTCGGGTTCACCATTCCCGTACTCACAAGTTGTGAGCCCCTGAGGGGATCGCCAGAGCCTCGTTATCAATCCGCGGCCTCACAAGCAGATTTTCACAAATTGCCCCATCCTCGCACTCAGATGTCCACAAAACTGTCCCATCTGAGTGATGACAGCAAAGATGTTCCCAAAATGCTCAATCTGCCGAGCAGCCGCGGCTTGTCCTCCCCGCACTATGGTGAGGTTGGGCTTTAGGGGAGAAGGAAAAGAGGAGAAGTGACCAAGGGAGGCCGATGAAGAAAAATATTGGAAAATGAAGAGTGAAGAGGATACCATCAAAGACAAGTAGAAGATTAATGAGTATCCGGCTAGGGTACCTCGGGATTGCCATTCCCGTACTCACAAGTCGTGAGCCTTTGAGGGGGGCCTGCTGCTTAGTGGACCCTAGTCTCTAACGGGGGTTAACGAGGATAGCTAGCAGGCCTGCCACTGCGCATATGGTAGACATTACTAGCCTACGAAACACAGCCGAAAAACTCTGAAAGAGAGCTGATGGGCGGTGCCTGAAAAGGATGTCTTGAGCGAACCACATCAGTCATTGAAAACACTTGGGGTGTGCAAAAAGGTCCCATTAGGAACTAGTTGCTGACGTGCAAACGTCTCCCACCAGTACCAGTATCATTACGGAGATTCATCGTTGAACCTCACGTCGATGTAAAAATGTATTCAGGAGGTAGGAAGGCGTTTGCTTTGAGATTGATTTGTAAATGAATATTGCAAAGTGAGACTAAAAATAAACCTAGTACTGGTGTTTGGAACTTTTTGTATTCATGCTGAAGTAATTAAATCGAGGCATGGACCATAGACTATGACGCAATAAATGAAGATAGACAAGACTAGAGAGTCACATAACATTTTTTTCAGGGATCTGCCAAAAAAGTGTCTACTAGCATTAAGATTTTTCATTGTTAGATAAGCACGTTGAACAAGACTGTTCACATGATTTGTGAATTCCAGGTTACTATCAATCCATAGGCCCAAGGAATTGATTTTTTTACTGTAATCCATTGTATATGGTTTCCGACTTCTATCCGCAGATTTTCAGTTACTCTCTGTTGATCCTTCTCACCACCGAAAACTATTGAAGTTGATTCACCAGGGTTGATATTCAGACAGTGTTTATTTGAGATTGTAACCAAGCCTTCTATTTCTTCATTGCGTTCGGCTTCTTGGATTGAAAGTTGATCAATGGGAATTTTCGATTCGGCATTCATAAGATCTTGAATGAAAAAAAAAAAAAAAAAAATGCAAATGAGGATGAATACCTATACATAATTCAAAAAGTATGCAATACCGAAGTTAATACAACACGAATTTTAATACTCGCCTATTTCGTCAAAACGAATGAGTGATTTATCATTTCCTCTTTCTCCTCGGATTTAACATCCCAGATCAAATTTTTCATCTTCATATTCCATTTCAGCAAATAATATTACATTGTGAAAGCATAGAAATGAGAGACTCATTATCAAATCATATAATATCATGTTACATTTCTCCATTAGTAGAGTCGTGAAATCCTCACTATCCCGAAGACATCACTTTCATCTATATAACACTCTCGCAATGTAAAATGCGAAGCCATTTTCCGAATAATATAGCTCTTCAAACCCCTGACTGTGGAGCCCTTTCATCATTATTAATGTCGTCTTTTGTTTTCAGTTACGTCGACCTATGACGTAGAGGCGGTTCAAGGAGGGGTCGCGAAGCTGCCCTGTGACATAGAACCCTCAATACCGGGTGACAAAATGCATATTGTCATCTGGTTCAAGGATGGAGATGAACGGAAGACCCCTATATACTCGTAAGTGTCATTTTCCAGAGGCGTGTTTTTTTTACAGTACTCAACTTCCAATAATCATAATTGTGAGACAGATTCACATGTGGGTGGGTTATCTTACGGAAATAGTACATTATACAACTAGGGTGATAATAAAAACATTAAATAGCAAGCACTTTTATATTCAGAGATGCAAAGCGCCGGAGGATATAATGTGCGATCTTTATAATAGTATCTATCTATAATATGTTTTCCACTTCTTACACTAGAGAAGCAACATCTTTCATCAAATCAGATTATCTTTTCTATCGAAGGAGCAATACCATTTGCCGTGTATACCTGTCCAGCATTTTTCAGCATATTACCTACTAAAATTTTTATATATCAAGTTCAGCCTAGGAGTTTAGTTTTCGAACAAACTGAAGAGAAATTCGACTTGGTTGTCAGAAGATAAAAGCTTTATCAATTTCCCTGTTGGAATTGTGAATAACTACAAAGACCAAGTGAAAAGTTGAGTGATATTTATTTCGATAGGAATAAGCTTGTATCCCGCCTACATGAAGTCAGGAAGGATACTGATATCACTAATCATTATCGCAAGTTGATATTAAGAATACATCAATAATTGAAATGTTCTGGAATATTCCAACCTAATGAATTTCGCACATGATACCATTGAAAAATCATTGAACTGGTACATATCATATCGTGTCGAGCATACACGACCACCATAATAGCTGAAATTGTTTTGATTGATCAAAAAATGGGAGCATCCCGCGATGCCCAATTCCGACGATGCCCAATTCCCACGATACCCAATTCCCACGATGCCCAATTCCCACGATACCCAATTCCTACGATGCCCAATCTCATGTCGACGATTACGAAGATTGCCGAAGAGCGCAACGTTGCCAGGTTATGAGAAAAAATCAGAAAACACAAGATTCCTACCATCCCACTTTCCATAGATTCCCACGATGCCCAATTCCTACGATGCCCAATTCCCACCATGCTCACTTTCCTTCGATTCCCACCATGCCCAATTTTCATAGATTCCCACGATGCCCAATTCCTACGATGCCCAATTCCCACCATGCCCAATTCCCACCATGCCCACTTTCCTTCGATTCCCACCATGCCCAATTTTCATAGATTCCCACGATGCCCAATTCCTACGATGCCCAATTCCCACCATGCCCAATTTCCTTCGATTCCCATCATGCCCACTTTCCATAGATTCCCACGATGCCCAATTCCCACCATGCCCAATTCCCACCATGCCCAATTTCCTTCGATTTCCATCATGCCCACTTTTCATAGATTCCCACGATGCCCAATTCCCACCATGCCCAATTCCCACCATGCCCAATTTCCTTCGATTCCCATCATGCCCACTTTTCATAGATTCCCACGATGCCCAATTCCCACCATGCCCAATTCCCACCATGCCCAATTCCCACCATGCCCAATTTCCTTCGATTCCCATCATGCCCACTTTTCATAGATTCCCACGATGCCCAATTCCTACGATGACCAATTCCCACCATGCCCACTTTCTTTCGATTTCTGCACCATGCACCATTCTTCTTTGAATTTATATGCATGTGAAGATATATTTTTGGAATTATAAAAAATTGTTGTATAACAAACGAAACCATCGCACTATGCCTCATTTCGGATCAAAATATATTCTTGCAGCGGAGCTTCCAAGCTGTCAGTATTTTTGTGCGGCAGTGCTGCCAACTCAGTCATTTTATGGCTAGTTTCAGCCATTTTTCAACTCATCCAGCATATATACAGGGTGTAAGTGAATAAGTGCGACAAACTTCAGGCGTTGATTCCTTGTGATATTTCAAGAAATATAGTTCAAATAAACATGTGTCCTAACTTGCTCGTTTTTGAGATACAGGATATTGAAGTTGGATGTATTGATTGTTTTTATTCATAGCCCCCCTGTATATAAGCTTCTATGGTGCCAAAAGTCAAGTCAGTATATTTGGAGGCTGACAAAGCCCCAAAATTTCAAAATCATTCTTACTGGGGTTATTGAGTTATCTCAATGGATGTCTTGAAAACACCCACATCAAAATTTAGAGTCAAGTCGAATTTTTATTTATTCCTCAAAAACTAAGCTAGATACAATAATAACACAGGGGATGAGAGAGTTGTTATTTCAATAGTTCAATCTAATAAAAATATGGAACTCAGAATAACCAGTCGCGTACAATGATATCCACCATAAATATCGATGAATTTACCCACTGTTACGCCACTGGAAATATTATCTAGAATCTAATTGCACCAACAGAAGCTCCAGGTTAGTATTGACAAAACCACAAAGTTCCATTGAAATTGATGAAAAGACATTTGAGTATGAGAATAAAAAAACGATTTTTTATGGAAATATTTATACCCTGTATCTCGAACACGAAGCAAGTTAGGACACATGTTCATTCGAACTTTGTTTCCGAGAATATCACAAGGAATCACCCCCTGAAGTTTGTCGCACTTATTCACTAACACCCTGTATATATGGGCGTGTTTTTCATTCCATCGAAGAAAGTGCGCACTGATAGCACAGATTAACAAACCTTACAGATGAGACAGTCAGACAAGGCGCACAAAATAAGAGAGAGATGACAAAAGCGCAAAGTTTAAAGGGACAGTATCCCTAATGCGCAAGCGCTCGGAATTGTCGACATGCTTTCCACACAGCGTTGCCAGACCTACGGTTTTTGTCTCCGTTCTACTGTTCTCCTGTTTTAGGCATGAAACCTACTGTTTTGTTCGTTAACGTCAAACCAAAAGCAAAACTGGAAAATGGCAAAATTTCATACAAGCTGTCATGGAAATTAGGATTCAGAGTTGATGAGGTGTGGTTTTCAGTTGAAGAGTATTGTTTTGGAGACTATTCAATAGTATTCTTGAACTTGACCATATTTTCTCTAAATTCAATATATTTGCCTCATTCTTCAGAAAACATAGGGAGACTATTTTCTCAAGTGAATTTGCTGGAGTCGAAGCAGCGTCATGAGTCAAGTACAGCCAGCATTGTGGGATTTCTCTTTACCAAAAATGATTCATCTACAAGGCAATGATCATGTTTTGATATGACATAACTACCTATGTTTTGACAGGTTTTGATGACCTACTATTTTTTCGTAACCCATCTACTACTCTGACAAATTTTCATCTGGCAACACTGTTTCCACATTCGACAGCACCACCACCACCACGATAGAAGCGTTTGTTTATTGTTCATCAGTTTCAAAATCGATAATGTATATGTAAATGTCCAAAGTATACAGACAAGAAGGAAATAAATTCCATATCCAGGTAAGGTACTCGGTTAAAATATCAATTGTAAACAGATTACCTGCGAAATGTTGCATGTGTTTCTGGTCCTACCTAAGCACCTACCTAACCCTTTATCCATCCTTTATCAATAAGCAATCAACTCTAATCATTTAAATAAAGCCATTTAATTACTTGTAGGTACCTCACCTCTGAATAAAAGGAATTCAGAAAATGGAACCACTTCTATAGGAGTCTTGAGCAAGTAGTGCAAAGATCTATGAAAAGTGATAGTGGTTTGAGTTGTGATCGAAGTTGTGATAGTGTTTTGAGTTGTGATTGTGCTTGAAGAGTTTCTTGTTCAACTCCAATCAGTATAATGAGTGAGCAGAAAGTGGAATATGCAACAATTCCGAGTGAAAGACACCGTTGTGTATTTATAAACTGCAAGAACACCTTAGATATTTCAAAGAACATTAAGTAACATGGTTTTTCGAAGGATGAAACATTATACCAAAATGCCTTTTTAACCAAAAAGTTATAAACAATTGATCAGGTACCTAATTTACTCTCTTTTGTTCAAGTAGGGTGTCATGATTCAGACAATGATTATTGTTTTCAACACTAGTATTGAGACTAGTATTCTAATTCACTCCTAGAACAATTTAGTCATTATGTATGTTCACTGTACAGGGTATCCATCGAAAAGGACCACCCCTATATTGAAGTTTTTCTTCAAGAAAAAAAAACAATATGCTGAAGTTAGATGCCCCAATGAGGCCTTGACTCTTGTAATGTTGAAGAAAATGTAATTGTGATGTTTTTCACTTATTGAATTTCCTATGCATGAAAACGCTGTTGAAATTTATTGTATTTATATAATAAAAAATTTCTGCTAGTCTTTTTGTTATTAACTTTTATTTTATACTAGTGTAAATGAATGAATGAATGAAGCTCACACCTGTCAAGTCTCCAATGTATTCAATTGATTCCTCTCAAATATTTCTTACATATTGATTTATTTCAAGAATTTTGTAAAATAAACTTGAAAATCAAATACATATGATGTTGAATATTTCCAATGAATTGATTTATATGGTAGAAAAAAATTTATAAACTACTTAAAAGGCACTATCTGCATATTATATTAGTTCAAAATAGATATTCATCCTCCACAATAATTTCATTCTGAAGTAACGATTTTTCAATTCCTACACAGAAAGAAATGACAAGGTAAATATAAAAAAAAATCTTTGAATACTACAAAAACTTCTTTTGCTATAGCGCCAATGAAAGTTTCTGTTAATATCATAATTCATTTCTTTTAAAATCCCCAAATGAGATTCTTCAACATCAAAAGACCTTTCGGTACTTCTACAGAAAGTTTCTTTCATTGTGAAAAAATTTGTTCGTTGTCTCAACAAATAGTTCTGTACACAGGAAAGAAGAATTCGTAAGAATTCTGAAACATTAAAGAATAGTTCGATAGTCATAAAGAAATTTCTATTGGTATAACAGAATGTGTTCCTTGTGTCAAACGATAGTTATTTATATGTTAAAGAATGGTTCTGTTGAATTATGTACCATTAATAGGAAATGTATCATAACCGGAACGAAATAGTTCGTTCAATGGTAAAGAAATATTCATAATCGCGAAAGATATTTCTGTACAAGTTGAATAATGGTTCTATTAATCATTTGTGTTTACAGAATGGTTCTATCAATGGTAT